CGTGAGATTGTAATAATAGCAGCCGCCGGCGCACACCTTTATTTGGCAACAATTGTTCCGATTTCAGGCAGTTGCTGAGTAGAATAACATTTCTCCGACGCTTGTTTACGCTGCATCTAATCCCCAGTTCAAAGCACTTTTAGACGCTTTTTATTCCGAGTCCTTGCACGGGCACGCTTACTACTCGCGCTGAAAAATTAAGCCGTGCTACACCGTGCTTAGTTTGTGCCTTTCATGTGAATGAAAGCCTCCGAACAGCAATTACAGACGCTGTCGGGCATGCTTAGTTTAATACATCGATCCTGTTGGTTGTCCCCACCGCTAACCCACAGCCACGCACAACCACGCTCTCTAATAACGCAATCAAATTGCCCAGCCAGCTCCACCGCTAACCCACAGCCACGCACAACCACGCTCTCTAATAACGCACTGATGATGTCACCTCAATTGGTGATGAAACGTTCGCAATCAAATTGCCCAGCTCAGCGAACAAGCCGACGACCACCATCTACGCTACCTGAGCTACGAAGATTTTCCTCTAAAGAAAACCTAGATCCCGTGTATCGATCAGTGAGGTCATGAAAAACGACGAAGTGTGCGTCTACAAATATTCTCGCGCCGCGCTATCGCCATGTAGTGCTATCAGCCAGGTTGGCTTTTGCTGCACGCAACAGGTCGGGTTGGCAAAATCTAGCTGTTGCTGCTGTTGCGTTATAAGTTGATGATTAACTTCGATAGTCACGATGAGTTCCAGTTGGCTTATTATACCAACGATAGTGCCCTACCTAAATTTCTGACTCCCGACGCAGCCTTTGGTAGCGAAAGTGAGACTCTCGACAGCCTTCGAGTTAGGTAAATGAAATACCGAGCTGGTGGTTCCGACGAACTCACACACGCTGTTTAAAATTGGAAGTCAGATCCTCAGTTGGCTCTTGTCTAATTTAACTCCCCCAGCTGGACGAAAGAAACCGCCCCAGCTTACTGGGGTGATGTAATATAACCAGTGCCTCACCTCGGTTCTCGATCTGACGGACAAATCTGGCCTTCCCGCAAAAGAAGAACGAAGGGCAAACAAAGTGTATCGATCACTCAAAGCTAAGACAAAAACGCAAATAGAGCTCGTCGAATATAAAGTAGATGCAGCGATAACATCATGAAAAGTAGGATGCCCTCCAAACGCGATATCGGCTATCGGCATTCAGTGGACACTGTGATTGGCCGTTGGGTCAACCCTTCCGACCAATCATTGCTCGGCTTGATGCTGGACGTCAGGCGGCCGCCGTTTCGCCCAATCGTGTGGGGATCCTGTTTTTAGGCTTAGAACCGCATGGTTGTGAGCGGCAAAGCGGTTTTCATGCAGGACTCCGCTTAACAGTGATATTCCTTTTTAATATACCATAGTCGGTGGATTAATAGGCCAAGGACCGACGCAGAGTTGCACGACCGTTCAGCAAGTCACAACACCCCGGGAACAGATTGAAAATCTTCATTGCACTAGATTTCACTATAACATGCCTTGAGTCAGCGTGTGTATTTCAAAATGGCCGGCAGTAGACAACCGAACCTCTACATAAACAACCGATAGTCCGTCACGAAGAGGCTGAACCTTATCGTGGATTGATTGTTTGCGCACCTCAGCTACCCATTAAGCTATGTTGATGTTCCGGCGACACTCAGTCTCATATCAGATTGGTCAATGGTTAGAGGCGTGACGAATAGTTTCCTGGTCCTTCAGGTTGGAGGTTTGTACATGTGTGGCGACTTGTTTCGTAGATATGGTAATGCATTTGCATTTGCCACCAAACACACGCTGCCTTGTGGTCAGGCTTTTGAGCCAAGACTTTGGTTGAGGACCCTAATCGTCTCCCTCTATAGATTTAGGTGCTCTGACAGTACCCCAACGCGTACAACCATGAACTACACATATGTGCTGTATATCAGAAACAAGAATTCAGGACGCAAAGACATTGGCTAAGTAACCTTCCTCCATAACTCTCCACTCGCTTTCGGCTGCGTCAGGATCCACCGGGGTTGTTATCGATCTAAGTCACCGAGATAAAGGGTTCTTGCTTGAGTGGATACTTGTCGCTAGTCGCCTCTTTGTGGTCCGTCTGGGGACGTCTTGGAAAGAATCTCATAAGCGGGGAGTTGGTCGATGTCTGCTTGTCTGCTCACGTCCCAACTGACTAACTCTGACACCATCAAAGATAAGTCTAACGACGCCCTGAATGTCCTATTGCAGCGAGCTAAAAGTTCGGATGTCGTTGTGGTTGCCGGAAACCTGAATGCACAAGTGGACAGGCTAACGCATCTGGCTGCTATGGATTGGACTCGGTCCGTACTGACAATGGTGAACGCCTGCTTCAGCTGTGTGATGACTGCAGACCGCTTTTATGCAGTACTAACTTCCGAAACAGCCGAAGTCACCTGGCCACATGATGTCCTTCGACGGCTTGCCAGCCGTAAAATCAAATTAATCGCATTGCCATCGGTTACCGATGGTGCGGATCAATAACTTACTGCAGGTCGTTTTGAAACATTTTTGGATTCTGACCACGTACTCGTCCGGAGTCGCTCCTCTCACCGTTTTCCAGGGCCGCGTAAGGTGCGGACAGATCACTTGGCAACGGAGAGACTGGCAGATCCGGTGTTAGATGAATTTACCACAATCACCTTGAGTCTCCTCCAAATGCTCCATCATCAGATGTGGATTCATACTGGGACGAGATTGCCACTGGATATCAGACCGAACAGCGGAACCGCTTAATTCTCGGATAACTATCCCAGCCAGTCCCGAACATAACTTAATGCGACGAATTACCAGATGTCAAGTGAAAATGAGCGTGCGAGCTGACCGTAAAGTGTGGTGCACACAGAAAGCCGAAGAAGTGGAAGAGGCCCAGAAAACAGGGAATGCCTGGGGGTTATTCCATTTGGTCCGTGCGACTGAACCCCGGTAACCACTTGTGGGTGAAACCATCAAGGATCAGATTGGAGTTATCATCTCGAATAAAAAAGAACGCCTCGACCTGTGGGCCGAATATTTCGAACAACGGTTACCATAGCCTCCAACTGCCATTCATCTGGAGCCCACATTTGATGTAGAACCCTGAACGGTGAACATGGAACCCACTACGGCTTCGGAGGTTCATGGCTGTATATGTTCTCTCTAACGCCACCGAGCTTCCGGACCGGATGACCTTCCACCCGCGTTGTTCGCAGATAAGGGTGGAATCCTGAGTCAGCGCTTGTCTGTTCTATTTGCCTTCATTCTGAAAAAGGGGAACTGTCCAAAACAGTTGGGAAGAATTGGTGATAGAGCCCATTTTGAAGACAGGACCTCGCAGTGAGTCAGGTTGCCACAGGAAAATCAGTTGTGGCGAAACTGCTTGCGTCACTTCCGCTTTGTCGCCTTATTGTTGCTCTTGAAACAATGACTAGAGAGCAGCAAGCGGGATTACAGCCTGGTGGGAGTTGCGTTATCCAAGTATTCACACTCCGTCAGGTGCTAAAACATCGCCATAAGGGACCCACAATTGTAGTATACCTGGATCTCCAAGACGCATTCGACTCGGTTGACCGATGTGTTTTCCTTGATCCGCTTGCCCATCTAGGAGAAAGCGTTCAGCTGTAGCATCCTTCCGGTGCCTAGCTGCCATGCCATCCGAAGGAAGCATTTAGGAACGCCCAGGAAACTTATGGACATAAGTTCTTTGTACTTTTAGACTTATTGACGTGTAAGAGCATAGGGGGAGGTCTCCAAAAGCTTTCGTACACACAGTGGTGTCCGTGGGGGGTGCCCACTCTCTCCACTCATTTTCAGTTTCGTGATTGATGAGATAATGAGACGAACGCTGGAAGGTCTTCAAAACCCCGGTGTTCAAATAGCTTCTGATGGAAAACCTGTCGATCTGGGATATGCAGGCGACCCCGTTCTTGTCTTAGAAGAGGAGGAGATGACGCAGATATTTTTGGATAAACGAAATTCATTCTGTGCTTTGGTATGTACTTCGCATCCACTAAATGTTAGGTCTTGCTCGTGGACGTGCTGTCACCGAACACTCCACTTACGATCCGGAGAGAGGAGAGTTTAACGTATCTTTGAAGTTGTATTATTTCAGATTGTGGTGTGACAGATGAGTTCAGTTTACGGATCTGCAAGGCTCGGGCGGTGTTCGCTAATTGGAAATACCTATAGCGCCAAAGTGGTGTATCCCTGAATCTCAAGGGACATGTATATCAAGCTACAGTTCGGACTGTTTCGTTGTATGACTGTGAGACTTGGCCCGTCCGAGTAGCGGAACTGAGACATCTTCAGGCTTTCGACAATCGTTGTCTCAGGGCCATAGCGCGTGTGGGGCGATGTCGTAGAATCCCCAAAACAGGAAGTTAGAAACTGAGTTTTCGGTTGTGCAACGGGCACTTCTACTGAAGGATATGCCCAGCACCAAAAGCTGCGTTAGTTTGGACATGTATTGCGTGTGCCGAACTATCGTTTGCCGCAGAAATTGCTGTTTTCTGTGCCCAATTCAGAGGAGCGAAAGCAGAGAGGTGGTCAACCATTGACCTGGCAGGGGAGTATGAATGAGATTACGAAACGTTTGGTTGCTGTCGGTGCTACTTGCCTTCCAGGATGAAGACCGCGTGATCCACATTGCACCTGGCAGAATTCGCCGCTAGATATGGCTGCCAATCGATGTTAATGGCGTTCATGTCACTTTCTATCCAGACTGCCTGGATGTGTGTCCCAATCGTGTTGGCAGTTACAGGCTTCTCCGAAGAGGATTTTAGCACGAGGCAAACTAATGGTTAGTGACCCGGATAAAGTTTGGCTGTATTGCGCAGCCAGCGGCGGTCATGCATGAAAGCTACACTCCCCACTGCGTAGCTCTCTCTCTGCCATACCGAATAAACACCTGTTCAGCTTCAGTGAATCTATTAGCAATCATCTCCCTCATTTTTTTGAATCCCTTATCCTCTGTTAACGGAGCTGCAGCACCTAGGACCTCTGTACCTCAGTACAAGTTTTTTTATGGCTCGAAAGCTGAACTTAACTGAACTTTCGCTTAGCCAAGACACCATTTCTCCTTTTTGTATGTTACCTGTACATCACTGCTGACCCGTACTGCTGCCGTTGTTACTGGTCAGTATGTTGTCAGCCTTATCTAATCCCCGTTGTAGGTCTTCCTGGTTTATCGTCAATGCAACGTCCAAAACACAATATTCTCCTTTTCACCGGAAAGCCGGGTAATTTTTCTTCCAACTGGGTTTTGTTGCTTTATACAAATACTTGAAATTTACAAATGCATACAACAGAATCCCTGTGTCACAGAATTTCTGTCCGTACTGTTCAGCAAAGACTAACCCAGAGTGACCGGATTCTTCGCATCACCTCACTGCGGTTAAATCCTCACGTTACAGTGCTCCATGCACATCATATCAGATTTCGGTCTAGCGGCATATATATTTATATTCCATTCATATTGAATGACTTTGCCTGGAGGTCAATGGGCTTTGTGGCATGGTTTCTGTGGTCTAGCGAGATAGTATTGCTCAGTTTTGCTCCTGTTTTCACACTTAAGAAATTCTGGCGTTACGAAGGTAATGGTATAATAACTGGTATTGCTGTCGTAAACGGCTGAAGCTGATTCACTTTGTTTTATATTGAAAATTTTCTGTTACCCTTAATCTCGTCTGTAAGTTCTATCAGTGTTAGTCAGTCTATTTTGGAGGTCTCTGCTAATCTCTCTTGCGTAAATCGCGTGAAACCTGAGGCAGATACACTCATCTATCCTTTAATTTGGCTTTAACGGGATTCCAGTTGAATTTGTCGTTTATGACATGCTTCAGCTGAATGTGCTCACCTTTCAGTTTGTACGTCATTCGAGGCATCTCAATTTATCTTCTTGGTGAAACAAGGTTGTTGAAGGTCCTTGGAATAGAGCTGCCTCAGTAGTTAAGACACGAACTCTAACCGAGAGGTGCGTGGTTCCAACTCGACTTCTGCATCTTGAATCCTCCTGCGCAGGCTTGGGCAACCTGACAGTATCTCGACCCTCGTGCTTCCTTCAGGTGGCATGGCAGCTAGGCACCGAAAAGGTGCTACAGCTGAACTTGCTGAAGATCTGTTAAGAAACCCCCGACCGTCGTTTCGATTCTATCAAAAGGGACACCCACTATCGAATTCACCTACTCTGCTCCAAGCGAAAACAACCATCCATGAATATTTTGCCCGCTTAATTCAGTTTGTCTTCTAAATGATTTCACTTATCGTCGGTCTGAAGAGTACACTTATTACTCGAGTCATGCATTCTTTGTCTGAAGCCCACATTATCTATGAATTCCCGCTATTTTCCCTATGAATGGATTGCAACTTATGCATGAAACTCGCCCTATGGTACATAAAGCTTCTCTTGACTGTGTCACTATTCAAGGGAACTTGCGTGAGGACGGATTTCCGCCCACCGACTCTGTTGCTGTTCGCGGGAAGGGCAGTTTCCTGGGCTGTTATGTATACCAGACTTATCCCGTGGACATGGAACTTACTTATTTCACTTGGACAACAGGAAAGGCAGATACTCGAGTGAACTCAGTGAGCTAGGGTGCTGGTTACTGGACAAATCTTTTTAATGAATAAAAACGCTTATGGTTGGGATTTGACCCCGTTCATTCATTTGGTTCTGCGTAGCCTTGGGTAATCTCGCAATGGGATTTGACTCCATTCTTTCATTTGGTTCTTAGTAGCCTTGGGTAGTCTCGCAATACATCAGCCCATTTGTTTTCTTTAATAATAATAGTCATTCAGCTGTAAAAACCTTTCGGTGCCTAACTGCTATGCCACCCGAAGGAGGCACCAGGGCTGGGGTACTACCTGTGTGCGCAAACCTAAACAGGAAAAATTGAGATGCAGGGGTCGGGTTCCAACTACAGACGCCCCGGTCAGTAAATTTGCGCTGTAACCACTCAACCATCTCACTTTTTTGTCTTGCTTTCTTTGGGCCAGCTGTGCGCCGAACGAACATCACAGCTGCTGCGTTTGGCGCTACAGTCCCAATGATGGACGAAATAGACGGTTGTTTCTTGGATCTCCATGAGTATTGTGTGCTTTCGTCTGTGTTTGGCGCTGTAGCTATAATTTTCGAACCCCAACGATGGACGAAAGAGACGGTTGTTTCTTAGATCTCCATGAGTATTGTATGCTTTTGTCTATTGTTTCTTTTTGTGGTCTTTCACCCTAAATTTGCTTCAGGCACTCAACTTTTGATCAACTTGCCTCAGACACTCAACTTTCGATCCCGTTATCGGCGGCACTGGTTTGATCGGGTAACTATGGAAATTCACGAAATTCCTATTGCAAAGAGTTGTGCTACCCAAAAGCTTTTATGCCCAAATGCGCGTTCGTTGTGACCGCAGTTGGACGCTTTTTGTGAATTCTTGTTTTGTCCGCAGGGATCGGAAAAACTACTGTAGTATCGCGACTAGCCACTCAGTTGTCCAAGCATGTGGGTGTTCATCTCACTGGGTTCTTCACGGAAGAAGTGCGGGTGAAAGAAGTGAGCAGGCCGCCGCGCCGAATCGGATTTGATGTTGTCTCACTGGAACACGACACGAAGAACCGATCACTAGCTCTGAATGAACGAGCCCCGCTGGCCCGGATACACCCGACTTCGACGAAAGACCTTCCGCGCGTTGGTCAATACGTTGTGGAGTTACAGTCATTTGAAGCCATATGCGTTCCGTGCTTAAAGGTTGGTTTGTAAACACCGTTCCAGCCCAATTTCCCTAACATGCACTTGCACTTCAGACACCCACCACACTGGGGCGTAGTTTCAGTTGATACCTAATATAACATTACCGATTTTCATCCCTGAACGTGTTAAAACTGTCGTTTTTTGCCCGCCGGTCCTATGTAGAAATTCTACTTCCTGCTTTGAATCAACCTAACTTGATGCATTATCCGTGTTCATCGTGAGTGGGGATTGAGTAACCCTTTACAAAGGGCTATTACACAAGCGAGATGGCTCAAGTGGTCAGAGCGCGAATTTACTGACCGGAAGGTCCGTGGTTCGAACCTGACCTCTGCCCCTCGACTCCCCCTGTCTAGGCTTGGGCAACCTGGCAGTATCCCAGCCCTCGTGCTTCCCTCGGGTGGCATGGCAGCTAGGCACCGAAAGGGTGCTACAGCTGAAGGATTTTTTCCCTCCATTGTTATTCTAATAGTGTCTTCAGGTTACCGAGGACTAATGCTCAATTTTGTTATGGATCGACGGCCAATCTACATAGAATAGAATGAGTTGTTTGCACTTGGCCTTTTTTCATGAAGCTAATAAGCTGAAAACATTTTATCTGATTCTCTCATTTGGTAAACGACTTAGTTTTAACGTCTCTTCTCGTTTTCAGAGTGTGTTGGAAAAATGTCAACGGTCCCTCGTTGATGAAAGCATGCCAGGAAACATGCAAACTAATATCACCGTTTGTGTGATCGATGAGATTGGCAAAATGGAACTGATGTCGAACTCCTTCAAACGCTTAGTCAGTGACCTCATCGACCGAATATCGAAGACACGACAAACTGTCCTTGTGGCCACAATCCCCTCAGCCCGGTTACCGGATGGGCGACGTGGAATCCCGTTTGTAGACGAACTGTGTTCCCGACCAGATGTTGATCTTACTGAAGTGAGTTGTATGGTTGGGCTTTTGGAAACTCCTGTAAAGTCTTGTGGGGTGTGTGTGAGAATTAATTTTTGGACGTATATCGGTATGACCAGACGAACTAGAAATCCAGATTTCAGATCAGCGTAACAAGTAGCACGTTTGTATTCGAATTGGCTTATATGTACAGCATATGGAATATTAAAACAAGAGAATAATGAATAGAGCAATGAATAGAGTATCAGTCAT